CGGGGTGACCCCGATGTCCCCACCAGCCACTTAGCATGCGTGGGGACAGCGGGCTGGGGACGCGCCATGTGCCAGCACGCAGCGGCACCGCGAGGCAGCCAAGGACACCCGCTCCTGCGCCCCCACCAAGGGCATCGCCTGCGCTCTCCCCGCAGCACCCACACCGCCAGCAGCACCCACCCTGGCAAACGTGGGGCCGCCCCCCCGGGACACCCCACACCTCTTTTCTCCAACCTCCATCTCGCCCGGCACCCCCAGCCCGCACCCAGCGCGCACCCCCCTGCTCCCCGCTCCCGGGGGGCCCGGGGCACCCCAGCCCCGCTGCTCCGGGAGCCGTCGGAGCCGGGGGGAGGCGGAGCCGGGCCGGGCTCCACCCCGACCCCCGGCCCACATAGGCCGGCCGGGAGGGGCCCCGAGCCCCCTACAGCCCGCGCCAGCCCGGGGGCGCACAGGCGGAGCGCGGCGGCCGCTGCTCGGAGCCTGCGACCCGCGGGGCTGGGGACCCCCCCGGTGCGCCCCGTCCCGTGCCGCGGTGCGGGGATGCTGCGGCAGCGCTGCGGGCGGCTGCTGGCCCAGCTGGAGCGGGCGCTGCAGCTGCTGGAGCTGGGTGGCAGCCTGGAGGAAGGTGGGAGCGCGCGGCCCCCGGGTGTGGGCTCCCCATGGCACGCGGGGTGTGGGTGTGGGGTCGCTCAGCGTGCCGCGCGGTGTTGCCCCCAGACTACATCCGCATCGTGCGCTGCTTCGAGGCGACGCGCCAGAAATGCCGCCGGCTGGAGCAGGACGGGCGGCGAGCCCGCGAGCAGCTGGCCCGCTGCCGAGGCCGAGCGGGCGGCGCTGGAGGTGAAGCTGAAGCACGCCCGCAACCAGGTGGAGGTGGAGATGAAGAAGCGGCACCGAGCCGAGGCTGAGCTGGAGAAGCAGGTCGGTGGGGCTGGCAGCTGGTGAACTGGGGTACCGGGGGGTGCCGGCCTCACCGCTGCCCCATTTCGGCTCGCAGGAGCGCAAACTCCAGCTGGTCTTCGAGTCGCTGATGCAGGAGCCATGGGGAAACGGGGAGCAGTGCTCCGTCCTCAGAGCCCTGGCTGGCCGGCGCCTCGGGGCGGCCCTGGCACCGGGCAGGAGGTGAGCGAAGCTGGTGGCCCTGTGTCCCCTGACCCTCTCCTCTGAGGGGCTGGGGGGGCTCGGGGCACGCTCAGGCTCTGCGGAGGTGCCCCAGGTGCTGGCTGGGGTCTGGGGGTGCCCCGGTTGTGCTGAGCCCCAGCTCTTCCCGCAGGTCATCCGCAGTGGACGACTCGTGCCAGTCTCTCCTGTCCCACTCGGACATCAGCTATGACCGCACCGAGGACGACGTGGTAAGGAGCGACCCCGCTCCCTGTCCTGTTGTGGCAGAGCACAAATACGGGGGTGCTGCTTGCCCCACATGGCCCAGCCAGCCCCCAGCACCCCCTCTGCCTTCCAGGACGTCGAGGTGACGGTGGCACGGGCCCTGAAGCGCAAAGCCCAGGAGAGGCAGGTAGGAGGGGAGCGCGGGGCTGGCAGGGGGGGTAATTTATTGGCGCTGGGCTGGGAGCGTCATCTCGCAGCAAACCTCCTGGATCAATAGAAACTCCATTACCCTGCGCCGCGGCCCAGCTGGGCTCCTCAATAATTCATCCCCACGTGCGGGCATCCTGCGCGCAGCTCCGCTTGCACCTCTGCATTGCAGGCCTGGCCTGCACGGCCCCCACGGTACCTGCTGTGGGGCAGGTGCTGCAAGGGCACGGGATGCGCCCTGTGGGGCTGAGAGCACTCGTTTGGGGCTCTTGGTGTGTGGATGTTGGGGGCCTCAAGGGTCAGAAGTCAGGCTCCCTGCCCACCCTTCACCCTCTCCCTCTCTCTGTCCCCAGCGTGTGTCCCTGGCCCCGCAGATCGGCCCCGTGGTGGTGGCAAAGCGGCACCGCTCCTCTGTGGCACCCCCGAGCAGCTGTGAGTAGGGACCCCAGCACCCTGGGCAGGGCTGGGGGGCGGTGGGGGTGCAGGGCTCGGTGCCAGAAGGACAGGAGGACGCATCCTTTGGTCCTGCAGGGCTGCGAGGGCTTGGGGTGCACCTCGGTCCCCGCAGCCCCTGTCCCCCTGTCCTGGGTGACAGCACCCCTGGCTGTGCGGGACCACAGAGCTCATGGGGAGCGCTGTGGGGCTGCAGCCAGGCATGTCCTCACTGCCCCCCTAAATCAGCAGGTGACCGTGCCCCCTGCACCCCCTCCTGCTGAGGTCCCGGAGCCTGCTGGCAGCCTCCCGCCTGCCGTGCTGGTGCCACCCCGCCGCTCTCGCCAGGGACACCGCGTCTCCACGCGTGCAGGTCGTGGATGGGGGGCATGGGCGGGGGGGTGAGATGCTTATGGGGGTGTGGGACCAGCCTGGGGGTGCTGCCATCACGGGGGAGGGAAGATATCTGCTGGGGAATGCTTGCTCCCACTGTGGTGGGACTGTGGCCCCCTGCCTATGGGGTCCCCTCCACTGCCTCCTCTCTCTGCAGAGCCGGCCACAGCGTGGGGTACCAGTGAGGATTCGGGAGGCCGTGCCCCAGGGCAGGACAGCCACACCGAGGGTGGCTCTGTGGGGCAGCCAGCACCAGCCCCCTTCACCTCCCCTCCACCCAGCCTCCTGCAGCCCCAGCACCAGTTCACCTCCAAAACGGTGCGTGCCTCCTCCCCACCTCTGACCCCGGGGCACGCAGGAGGGATGCAGGGGGGTGCTGACCAAATTCCCCCCCGCCAGGTCATCCGCCCCGAGCCCTGCGGTGCCTGTGGCTCCCGCCTCCGTTTTGGGAAGGCTGCCCTGAAGTGCCGGCGCTGCCAGCTGCTGCTGCACGCCAAGTGCCGCCTGTGCTGCCCCGGGCCCTGCGGACCCCGGGCTCGCCAGCACGCCTGGCCCCGCGAGGTGAGGGTGGCACGGGGTCCCCGTGGGCTGGGGCATGATGTAGGGCTGGGGACTGGGGCTGTGTGGGTCCAGCACTGCCCTCCCCTCTCCTTGTCATCCCCAGGGTGTCCTGGCTGACTTTGCGCCCCTGACGCCTCCGCTGGTGCCGGCGCTGGTGGTGCACTGCGTGACCGAGGTGGAGACGCGCGGCTTGGCCGAGGTAGGGGACGGGGTGGTGACAACAGGGGGGCACGGTGAGGCCGTGCTCCCCACGGGGCTGAGCCCCTCTGCGCCCCCAGGCAGGGCTGTACCGGGTGCCGGGCGCCGAGCCGCTGGTGCGGGAGTGGAAGCAGCGGCTGCTGCGTGCTGGCGGCGCACTGCCCAGCCTGGGCGACGTGTCTGACATCCACGTGGTGTGTGGGGTGCTCAAGGACTTCCTGCGGGGCCTCAAGGAGCCGCTGGTCACCTTCAGCCTGCACCCGGCCTTCCTGCAGGCTGCCGGTGAGCGGGGGGACGAGCAGGGGCTCGGGGTGGGGTTTGGGGCTGATCCTCGGCTAAAACCCCACTGCCACCGCAGACATCCCCGACGAGACCGCCTGCAGCACGGCGCTGCGGCACGTGGTCGGCAAGCTGCCCCCGGCCAACAGGGACACGCTGGCCTTCCTCATGCTGCACCTGCTCAGGTGAGGGGCTCCGGGGGCTCTGCGCCCACCCCCCTGTGCCCTGGGGCGATGGGATCCCCTGGGGATGGGCTCGCTGGGCCGGGCAGCACGCTCCCCCCGTCCCCTCTTGTAGGGTGTCGCGCAGCCCCGACTGCAAGATGGACATCCTCAACCTGTCCCGTGTCTTCGGCCCCACGCTGGTGGGGCACAGCTCGGCCACCCCCACACCGCTGGCCATCATGGAGGACACGCCGCGGCAGAGCAAGGTGAGGGGGGCCCCGGGTGCCGGCGGTGCCCCTGGTGCCACCAGCAGCCCTGGGCTCTATCCCTCTGTGCCCAGGTGGTGGCTCGGCTCCTCGCCCTGCCGCCCGACTTCTGGAGAGGCTTCGTGGGGACGGAGCAGGAGAACCTGGTGCCAACGCCTGCCAGCGCCCCGGACCCAGGGGGTGAATGTGGTGAGCCCCCAGGACCCCCACCCTTGTGCTCACAGCAGGGTTGGGGTGCGACACCCTAACCCCAAATCTGCATTCTGTCCCACAGAGCCCCTCTGCCACCCCGTCACCTCCCCGGAACCCCACGGGGGGCAGCTGAGCCCCCCCGGGACCTGCTGCCTCCCTGGCGCCCTGCGGAGCTGCGTGGGCACGGCTCCACGGCCCCCGTGAGTGCTGCTGGAGGGGGCTGGGGGGAACCAAGGGGGGCAGGACTGGTGCTCCTGACTCATCTCCTCTCCCCCAGGAAGGTGGGGCGGTTCTTCCCCTCCCCGGTGTAGCTGTGCTCCCTGGGACCGAGCTGGCAGCGAGGAGGAGGAGGAGGAGGAGGGAAGCCTGTGGCAGGGAGCAGCGTGGGACTGCGGCGCTGAGCTCAGGGCTCAGGGGCTGGTTCGTGTTAAGTGTTGGTATGAAATGCTTCAATTAAACGTTTTGCAGCAAAACCAGCCGGGCTGGGACTGGTGTGCATCCCTCCCTGGCAGGATTGGGCCGGGGTTTTTGGGGAGGTGAGCGGCCCTCCCTGCCTGCCCGGCACCACCACGCGCCTGGGTGGGCAGGGGGAGGACAGGCAGGGTCCCCCTGCAGCGAGGGGCCCCTGTCAGCCCAGATGTTGGCCTCCAAGTAATCAGAGCTGCTGGGGCAGGACGACCCTAAGCGCTTCCAGACTTCCTGGCACCTCGGCTGGGGCCCCCTTAACTCCTTCCTCCCCTCCGGCACGGAGCTGGAGCGCAGCGGAGGTGTGCGGGGGGAGCTGGATGGAGCAAGGGCTTGTCTGCCCCGCAGCAGGGCTGGAAACTAACCCGAAAACTGTACCGAAAAAAAAACAGGGCAGCTGTGGGAGCCGGAGGAGAGAGAATTCAAGTAGGGTCCTGACAGCGAGCAGCGCTGCTGGCCCAGTTTCCCTCCGCGCAGGGGTGCGCACCAGAGGGCACGGAAATTAGCACATCCAAGGCAGAGGCAAAACTGAGGGAGTTTTAATGTGCTTAAAGTCAGGGAACAGCTAATCCCCGCCCAGGACCACAGCAGAGCTGGCACGGGAATGCACAGGGCTGGGAGCGAGGATTTGCTGCAAATCCGCCGAGCTGGGGGGGGGCGGGATGGATGGAGAATCCCTAATGCCGTGCCTGCTGCACAGCGGGGGCCCTGAGGGGCTCGGGGCAGGAGCACAGAGCACAGGGAAGGGACGGGGCGGGGGGGAAAAGGAAAGGGAAAGGGCTGGCCTGCCCAGTGCCCTGGGAGCAGCCTGGCACTGCTGTCCCTGCCCCGGGAGGCAGGAGCCCAGCTCAGGCTGTTGCAATCCCGCTGCTGACAGCAGGACTCTCGCAATGGGCTGGTGCTGGGGGGGGTGCGGAGGCACAGCAGGCACAGAGCTCCCCTGCCTCTTAGAGACATCAAAACTCCTACTTAGGAGTCAGACTCGATGATCCTTATGGGTCCCTTCCAGCTGGGGCGATCCCATGACTCTAAGACCTTCCCAAAAACTGGAGACACGGGCTGGGGGGCAGCCTGGCACGGGGTGCCAAGCCCCTGTGGGTAGTGCCCCTCGGTACAGAGGCACCCAAAAAAAGCTCAGGGCCTGAGATCCCGCAGGCAGCAGGAGCTCCCCTGGCAGCAGCTGGCCTGGCGCCTGAGCCACGTGCTGCCCCCACATTTCCCCCAAATCCCTGTGCTCCCAGAGAAGCAGCAAGCGAGGCTGATGCTCACCGGCTTTAATGTCTGTTGGGAGCAGGAGCCAGGCACTGAGAGGGGGCTCCTCACCCGCCCCCGGGGCGCTGGGACCCCCCAGGAGGTGACAGAGGTGGCAGAGGCCACCCCAGCCCAGCAGGCAGCGACCTCAGAGGATGATCTGGTTCTTGCAGCTGCGGCTCAGCTCCTTGTGGGGGAGCACGATGGAGTTGAGGATAACCACCTCGGCGGGGATGGTGACGCTGCAGCCTGCGGGGACAGCGCCGGGGGGGCGATAAGAGGGGAGCAGAGCCTGCCCCGTCCTCCAGAAATGGGGCTGCAGCCGGGACTCACCCAGGATGGTGATGGACGGCGTGAGGCGCCCGTCCCTGAAGAGGCTCTCGCTGTCGATTTTGGCGTAGGGGTCGTTGGGGTTGGGGTCGCTGGGCGTCCCTTCCACGCGCGCCCAGCGCCCGATGGTGCTGTCCCAGCCCACGATGGTGTTGAGGACGCAGGTGTGGTCCTGGGGGGGGGGCAGCAGGGAGCGGTGATGGGGTGAGAGAGGGGCAGCGAGGTGCCGGGGGGGACACCCTGACCCTCCCCGGGGTGAGCCCTACTTACGTGCAGCGCGGCCCCGTGCAGCACGATGGACTCGCGCACACGCACGCCGGCTCCCACCGTCACCCCCTCCCCGATGGAGACGTTGGGGCCCAGCTGCGGGGGCAGAGGGAGGCGATGAGCTCAGGAAATGGGGTCCTCGGCCCCGCGGGGCCCCCCGGCACTCACCACTGCCGTGCTGTCGATGGAGGCCGTGGGGTGGATGTAGACGTTCCCTGCAACACGGGGAGGGGTCGGGGCTGGGTGAGGGGGGCAGGATGCACCCCGTGGGTCCCCTTCCTGCACAGGGCAGCTCCCAGGGCCCCTGGGGTGGGGGGGGGAATGGCAGGGGGGTACCTCGGATGATGGGGCCTCCGGGTTTGTTCTGGGCCAGCCTCTCGGGGTGGGTTTTGCTGTACTGGTTGAGGTAGAGGCGGCTGGCGTAGATAGCAGAGCTGGGGGACAGAGAGCGAGGCTGTTGGTGTGGCTGCGGGGCCGAGGGGGGTCCAAACGCAGCCCCCGCCCGTACCCGGCCGATTTGATCTGGCTCCAGAAGCCCTCGGTTTGGTAGACGTAGAGCTTGCCCCTGCCGGCCAGCGCGGTGAAGACGTCCTGCTCCAGCCGGATCACCTCGGCGCGCTGCCAGCCGTTGGAGCTCTCCTCTCTGCGGGCGAGAGCACCGTCAGCCCCCCGCCCCAGCCAGGGACCCCAAACACCCCAAACCGAGGGGCTCCTTCCTGGCCGTGCACTTTGTCCCAAAGGCAGGGCTGGAGTTGCTCTGCCAGCCAAAACAAGCTTGGGGCCAGAAGCGGGTGGTGCAAGAGCTGCACCTGGCCCGGGTAGGAGGAAACGTGCGGGGTCCTGCCCTCGCTGCACAGCCGGGTGGTTACGGGGTGAGGGGAATGGAGGGGAGGCAGGACTGCTCCCTGCTGCAACAGCCTCCCTCAGCCCCCTGTACAGCGCTGCATGAGGATGGGGTGGGAGGACAGGGAGGGAGAGGGGGAGCCTCAGGCTGGCCGGGAGGAGACACAGAGGGGGCAGCCTGGCAGGGCTGCAGCGGGAGCAGGAGGAAAGCAGGGCGCAGGGCAGCACAGCCAGCAGCCAGCGCAGGCACAGAGGGACAGGACGGCACAGGACGGACTTACCCAAGGTAAGGACAGCTGGTGCAGGACCAGGAAACAAGTGAGTGATGGCAGAGGAGGAGAGAAGATAGAGAAAGAATGGAGGATGAGCGTGCCGCTGCAGCCCCGGGGAGCGGGGGGGTGGGAGGGACGCGGGGCAGGGGCAGGGGCAGGGGTGGGGGGGCTCTCACAGCGCGAGCTCCTGCTGCTGCCGCTGGAAAACCTCGCCGATGTGCTGGAAGATGGCAGGCGTGAACAGGTAGATGCCGCAGTTAATCACCTCGCTGACGAACGTGCTGGGCTTCTCCACGTAGTGCTGCACCTGGCAATGGGGAGAGGTGAGGGCTGGGGCGCAGCACCGCGTGGCCCCCCCCGCCCACCCCCTGCCCCTCGCCTACCTCCTGCGTGTCAGCGTTGGCCACGATGCAGCCGTAGTTCAGCGCCTGCGTCCTGTTGGCCTGCGGGGCGAGGCTGGCTGAGCGCTGGAGTTTGCACCCAGGGCAGAGCCGTGCGGCCCCAGCCCCGCTCCCGGCTCACCGTGGTGCCCAGGATGACGAAGCCGTGCGCGGCCCCGTGCCGCTGCCCGAAGCCCAGCATCTCCTGCAAGGGGAACTCGGAGCACACGTCCGCGTTCAGCACGAAGAAAGCCTCGGTGCCCCCCGACAGGATCTGGTCTCGGAAGTGGTAGATGCCCCCCTGCCGTGCCCAGCGCCGCGTACTCCTGGAGGTACCTGCAGGGCAGGGGGGGCGAGGGGAAGGGGCTGAGAGGGGGAAGGTGGCGGGGGGGTGGCAGGGAGCGGGGCAGGCGGGCACCCACCTGATGGGGATCTTGAACTCCTGCTGCTGCCGCCACCAGGAAGCGGCTGAGGGCCTCGTGGGGCTGGTAGAAGCCCAGCAGCAGGATCTCCTTCATGCCCGGCACCTGGGCACAGCGGGGACGGCAGCGCTGGGACCCGACACCCCCTTACCCCCTGGGTCCCCAATTTCCCCCGACACCCCCATTTTCTCCCCAGCGTCCTCATTTCTCCCTGACACCCTGTTACCCCCACGGGTCCCCCATTTCCACCAACACCCCCAATTTGCCCCCAGCCTCCCCTTTCCCCCCGATCCTCCCTTACCCCCCAGGTCCCCCATTTTCCCTGACACCACCCTTTTCCCCCAACCTCCTACTTCCCCCTTGACCCCCCCTATTTCCCCCTGACCCCCCATTTCTCCCAACACTTCCCATTCCCCTAACACCCCCTTTTCCCCCCAATTCCTTATTTCTCCCCAGCCCCTCTCCTTTCCCCCTGACACTCCCTTACCCTCCAGCCTCCCCCCTTTCCCCCTGAACCCCCCATTTCCTCCTGAGCCTCCCCCCTTCCCTTTCACCCCCCGTACCCTAGGCGCACGCCTCGATGTGGTGCTGCACCATGGGCACCCCGGCCACGGGGAACAGCGGCTTGGGCACCTCGAACGACAGCGGCCGGAACCGGGTGCCTGCGGGCAGGGCCGGGCAGGGCGCTCAGCGGGGCCGGGCCGGGCCCCTACCCCCCCCCCCGCAGCCCCCCGGCACTCACCCTTCTGCGGGCCCCCGATGAGGATCACGGCCTTGAGCGGCATCGCGGCCCGGCACTGCCCGGCCCGGCCCCCCCGCTGCCGCCCGGGGCTTCCGCACACGTGTCCGGGCCGCGTCACCCGGAGCCCGCCGGCGCGCCGCGGGGGGCGGGGCTTAGGGCGGTGGGCGGGGCTTGGGGCGCGCCACGCCTGCAGGGCGCGCCCGGCTTGGCGGGAACGCGGGGGTGTGTGTGTGGGTGTGTGTGGGTGTGGGTGTGGGTGTGCAAATACACGTCTGGGGATGGGATGGTGCTGAGGGCATGGGGTGGTGCCCGGGCACAAGCCCCTGTGCCCTGCACACACACCCAGGTACGCAGCTGCGCGTGCACATTTGCACGAGCATCTCTTTATCTGTGCCCTTGCACACACGTGTGTGTTACGGTGCACAGCCTCAGGACTGTGGGTGCAGCCAGGTGCATGGGGCCACTCCCCGTCACCAGTGATTCTACCCCTGTCCTCAGCCCAGCCCACCCCATCCCCACCTCCCACACTCCTCTCACCTCACACACCCACGCCTCGCCCCCCCAGTAACACCACGGAGCCAGGAACCGGCTGCTCAGGGCCTTTATTGCTGCTCTGGCACCTCGCTTGCTCCAGGCCACGGGGACGGTGGCGACGCCGGAGCCCGGCAGAGAGGCGGGGGCAGGCGCGGGGACGGGGGCAGAGCCGGGGCAGCAGCCTTCTCCCCCAGGTCAATAAATAAAGCCCGAGCGCTACAGCAGCAGCTGGAAGGCGGTGCCCAAACGCTGCCCCCGACCCGCAGCGGGGCACCCAGGGGAGGCGAAGGGGGGCCGGGCAGGGAGGGGCGCGGAGCACGGAGCACCCCGCACGGCCCCAGTGCGGGTGGCGTGTGTGCATGTGCAAGGGCACGCGTGTGCAAGGGGGTGCGTGGCTCAGCAAGGCACGTGTGGGGCCGTGCGTGAGCGCACTGCGGGGCGGGAGGTGCTGCAGGGGGTGCCGGGGGGGGGCTTTGCAGGAGCAGGCGCGTGGGTGAGCATCTCCACCCGCTCGGGGTGCCCCCAGGGAGCACGAGCAGCGTGGGCCTGAGCAGGCGCAGGAGTGTGCGTGGCACGGGGCTGCCGGGGGTGGCACACAGCCCCGGGGAAGGCACAGGCGTGGGTCCAGGGCTGCAGACCCACAGGGCCGTGCTGGTGGCTGGCCCCTCTCCGCACAGCCCCCCTCCTTGGGCACTGCCGGGCACCCTCAGTCTGTGCCGGGGGGCTTGTGCCCCTCGCCCCCTGTGCTTGTTGCCGGTGGGAGCCGCGGGTTGTGGTGTAAGGCACGCGGCTGAGCTGCGGCAGGACCCGTGTTGTGGGGCCAGACCCCACCGACTGCGTGGCCCAGGCTGGCCGGCGTGCTGGCGGCTCTCCGAGCTCCTCATCCGCATCCCGTCCCCATGTGTCCTCCCCCAACCCTCTGACACGTTCTCCATCCATCCATCCATCCATCCCGGCATCGCTGCCCGGCCCCTGCTGGGGCTCCGTTTTCCCTCTCCATCGTCTCCACCTAAAGAGTCGCCGCCTGTCCCCGTCCCCTTCCCCGTCCTGCCCCGCCAGCGTCCCCGGCACGTGGGGTCCGTGGGCTCCTCCCGGCTCCTCGGCCGCCCCGTCCCGCGGCCCCTGGAATGTTCCTCTGGCTCCTCGCCCCTCGCGGCTACTGCGGCCCCGGCGGCTGGCCGCCCTGGTAGGAGCGGAGTAAGACCTTGTGCTTGGTGACGGCCTCGCCGCGGCGCCGCTGGTGCTCCACCAGGAACTCCTTCAGGCGGTTGGTGGTGAAGGTGAGGGTCTGGCGGCGCAGCTTCATCAGGTAGGCGTCCTGGAGCCAGGCGTTGGCGAAGCAGTCCTTCACCGTGGGGCGGCTCCTGGAGCAGGGGTGGTGCACGGTCAAGAGCCACGGGGTGCCCACCACCACCTCGGTGCCCCACAGCATCCCAAAACCGAATGCCAGCGCTCCATCCCCGGCCCCAGGGGGTCCCAGCCCTCTCCAGCAGCAGGCACTCACCAGGGGTGGACGGTGAGGACCTTGCGGATGAAGAGGGCAGCGCTCTGCGAGACGTTGGGGTACAGCTTGAAGGCGTCAAAGCGCCCCGCCAGGATGCGGTTCTCCGTCTCGATGGGGTCCAGCTCGAAGAACGGTGACCGCCCGCTCAGCCTGCGAGGGAGGGAAGGAGGAGGTGGCACGGGACGGGGTGCAGCTGAGAGAGGGCACCCCGCACCCACACACCCCCATAAAGGGGTCCGGCTGGGGTGGGTCTGCAGGGCTGCAGCGTCCCCCCAGCCCGGTGTCCCCCGTGGCACCGAGCCCTGCTCGGCACACCCCAGGTGCAGCCCTTCTCTTACATGATGTAGGTGAGGACGCCGACACCCCAGACATCCGCAGCAGAGCCCACCGGGTCACCCTTCACCACCTCCGGTGCTGCAAGGGAGCAAATCTGGCACGTGTATGGGGGTGCCAGCCCAGCACCCCCTACCCACAGCACCCCCAGCACCCCCTCTTCTGCCTTCCAGCACCCCCATACCCCAACAGAGCCCAGAAACCCTAAAAATAAAAAAAAAAAAACAGGCACCCCCAGCTCCCCAAAGACCCCCCAGTCTCCCCAAAGCCCCCTGGGCTGCGCCCCGTCCCCCTGCCCCACTCACACATGTACTCCAACGTGCCCACGCGCCGGCCCAGCTGCCGCAGCACCAGGGGGTTGTAGGTCTGGGCGCTGCCAAAATCGATGATCTTGAGGGCGTTCATGCCCGAGACGACGACGTTGTCGGGCTTGATGTCGAGGTGCACGATGCGGCGGCCGTGCAGGTACTCGAGGCCCTGCAGCAGCTGCAGCACGTAGCTCACCACGTCGTCCTCCGAGTAGCGAAACCTGCGGGTTTCGGGGACGTGAGCGGGGTCCCCACGCCGGTCCCCAGACCCCGGTGCCCCCCCTGCCCGCCCGCCGGGACCTGTCCACGATGCTGTAGAGGATTTCCTTGCCGGCGCAGTTCTCGCAGATGAGCACCAGGTAGCGGGGGGTGATGTACGCCTCGTGCAGGGCCATGATGCGCTCGTGGTGCAGCGCCTTCAGGATCTCGTACTCCTGCAGCACGCTCTGCTTCCTCTCCGCCTCGTAGGGCACGATCTTGGCTATGAAGTGCTTCCCCGTGGCGTTCTCCTTGCACAGCCGGATCACCCCGAAGCGGCCCCTGCAGCACCGTGCAATGCTCAGCCCCCTGGCTGGGATGTTTTGGGGTCACCCCATCACGGCACCCCGTCCCACCCATCCTCACCTCGCCTTCTCGTCCAGGAAGGTGTACGGCTTCTGGGGGACGCCCTGCCGCAGCGCCGTGCCATCGGGGGCCCCGCTGTCAGCCGGGGGCTCCTTGGAGGACGGGGCAGAGGTGGGGGCCTCCTGGGCAGGGGGCGAGGCAGGGGGCATGGAGACGAAGGAGGTGACCATGTAGGGGGGCATCTTCCTGGGGGGAGCAGCGTTGGAGGTGGTCGACGCCGGGGGAGCGGGGGAGGATTTGGATGGGGAGGGTGCCCGGGGCTGGGGGGAGCCCTGGGTGGGCGAGGCGGGGGTGGACGTGTCCGTGGGGGAGCCCCGGGCTGGGGAGCTGGCCTGGGGCACGGCGGCAGTCCGAGGGGGGGTGAACACCAGCTCTGGGGGCTCGCAGACGGTGATGTTGGGCGGCAGCTCGGGGTCTGGCTGCGGCCCCCCGGGGACGCCAGCCTGTGGTGGGCGCTCGGGCTGCTGCAGCGCTGCCTTGTGCTTGCGGGGCGGCGTGGTGGGGGGCAGCCCCGCAGCAGGGGGCTCCAGCTGTGCCTGGGGGGTTTGGGTCGAGCGGCTGGAGGCCACCTTGTCGGGGACGGGGACGGCGACGTCCTTGGCCGGGGCAGCTCGGGAATCTGCGGGGAGGAAGGGGAGCCGTGAGCCAGGAGCGGGGTGCAGGCAGCAGGGGCTGCAGCCCCACAGCCAGCCCCACATCCCTGAGCTTGCTGTGGGTGCTGTCCCATGGAAGGGCTTCTGCTCACCTACTGCCTCCAGGTGCACCTTGCCCGACGGGGTGCTGAAGGGCCCCTGCCCGGCCTTGTTGACACAGGCCACCCGAAATTTGGGGGTGCTTCCAGGGGGCAGCTCCGTCACGTTGAAGTAGCAGTCGGTGATGCCGGTGCTGACCAGCTTCCACTCGTGCTCCCCTGCCGGCATGGAGGCACGGTGAGGCTCAGGGAGCTGGTGAGGCAGGGCGCAGCCTCCTGTCCCCCCCCCAGGACACTTCCCCAGGCCCCCAGCACCCATCCATGCAAGGGCGAGGCTTGTAGCCCAGCCAGGGGGTGTCCCCAAGCAGCGTGTGGCCACTCTTTTACTGGCCACGTACCCTCCAGCCGGCGCTCCAGCGTGTAGGTGCAGGGGGCTTTGCTCTCTGCAGGCTTCCACAGCACCAGCACCGTGTTCTTGTACTTCTGGGCAATCTCCGGGGTGCCCGGCCGCCCGGGGAGCCCTGCCGGGGGACAGACAGGGCAGGCTGGGACCCACGGGGAGACGCCTGTGCAACAGCAGCGTGGCCCCCTCGAAAACCCCAGGTGGAGAGCAGAGACCGAGTGCCCTGCCCCAGTGCGTCCCCAGCCCCGGGGCTGTGCCACCAGGCGAGCAGCAGTGCCCAAGCGTGTCCCTCCTGCCAGAGCCAGCCCCCAGCAGGCGATCCCCAGTGCCTGGTGCATGCCCTGTCCCCCGCGGTCCCCCCCACATCCTTACGTGCCACCGCCAGCGTGCAGGAGCTGATGGCTGTGCCCAGGGTGTTGGCGGCTGCGCACTCATACAGCCCCGCATCCTTCCTGGACACCTTGGCGATGGTGAGCATCTGGCGGCCGTCCTTGCAGGAGACGATGTTCAGCGCGCTGTCCGGCTGCAGCGAGCGCTTGTCTGCCGGGGGAGCAGAGGAGAGCGATGCCACCGCGGCCCCCCCAGCACCCAGCGGCCCGGCAGCCCCGGCAGCAGCCCCCCACCTTTCATCCAGATGATCCTGGGGGTCGGGCTGCCGGCG